CTATGAATTTTCTTAAGCAAGGTACTTTAATTATATCTTCTTTTATAAGTTTTAGGAAGAATTCAGGATTTTTCCTCAATATACATCTTACAACTCTCTTTTCATTGTAAGCTTCATTTGTAAGTTGTTTATGGTGATTCAAATAGAATGGCAGAAACTTCTCATCCCTCTCATACAAGTGAAGTATTTGCTTTGAACGTAATCTCAAGTCATTTTCTTTAATTTGAAATTCTACTTTTGGTAAGGAACAATGGTGTAATACGGGCACAGCCAAAGGAAGACCATATCTACAACACAAAATAAAGTTATTAATAAATACAGCAATATTTTGCACAAGTAATAATTAATTTAAGAATTAGGAAATGGGAGAGAAAGCAATCTCACAATTACAAAACAAAAGAGCTCTACATCCACAAAAATTAACATTGAATTGTTAAAATATGAGACTAAAAAAATATACCCAAACCTCACTGTGGTATTTGGGTCTGTATTAAATAGATATCCACCACCTAAGGAAGGGAAACTGGGTTATAGAGTTAATAAATTAATAGAAATAGAAACTTATGAGTTAATAAATGTGTTAAGTTATAAGGTGAGCTTTATTAACTTTTTTATTTTTTATTTTACGATAAAATTAATTACGTTCTATAAAAGTTCAACAGATGCAGTTCAACATGATGCAGCAAAGCAATAATTTGCTGAATAGGGTGCATTATTGTTGATTATCATCATTAAAGGACTTTGTGATAAACTGTATTTTTCATTTCAGTGCCAGACAATACCTAGAACCTACATTTAAGTTTTTCATATCAGATATGTCAATATTTACAGGCAAAACAATAGAGGTAACCAATAGAGCTGGTGTCATGTAAGGTATGACAATAAACAGAAATGGTTAATTTTTACTTTATTTTTATACCATGTAACTCATGCAAACACCCAGTAAATATTGTATACAAACCTGTTATAAACAGCATCAAATAAAGCATCATTTTTTTCTTGGTTCCATAATTTTGAAGCTCTAACAATCAATCTACATTTGATAGAGTAAGGTACAAGAGGCAAAAACTCATTGACAAAACAATTAGCTTCTTTATCTTTTAGAACCAACTCAAGAAACCAGGATTGCTTAAAAATCTTATTTGTATAAACCACGTTTCCTTGTAAGAATATTTCCAACAGCTCATCTATTCTTCTGAAATATATCAATGTGTCTATATAGAATAAATGTTGTTGATAGGTAGTAGGTTTAAGATTTTGTAAGGCACTTTTTAACTGAGCTTCACTCGTAAACAGTGAGGGTGTTCTAATCAGTCTGAATAAATATTCTCTTCTTTCGCTGATTAAATCACCTTGCAATTCAATGAACTTTGTGCGGAAATCATCTTTATCCATTTTTGTTTACTAAAACATTCAAAAATGTTTTTAAAATAAATTTCATTTTGTTTATAAATATATTCAATAACTTTACAGTTAAACTGACAACATGCTACTTACAGGAACCAAAAAATAAAACTGAATGCATGTGTTGCAACCAAATTGTACATACACTGTACACACTTAGTGGTTAACATTATCATTTGATAATTTGATTTCACATAGTTACAAGTGTGGAAATATTGTATAACATTAAAATATATTAATATCAATCTACAATTATTGTTGCTTGCATGCTCGCAAATAAATACTAGTAACATTACAATTTCATACAAAATAAATCAATTAGATTATTAGAAGAAAACAAATTAACTCATTAACCCTCGCCCACTTAAAACTATCTAAATAAAAACCTTCAAAATAACAAAAAAACGTAATTGTCTGAACTTACTTCTAACTTATAATCGATAGTAGTTTCTTTTATACCAATTAGGTGTATTTTTTAAATCATAATTCAAATTATTTGCGAGTTGGGGAGTATTATATTTTATTTTATCATTTGTGGTCATAATGTGGTTGTTGTTTTGACTTTTGAATCTTTTGATAAGCGATGACCATAGATAGATATAGCAAGAAGGTTAGGATTAGGAGATGACAGGCGGTGTCGGCGGTGACTTAAACTTAGCCTAATTCTTCTTTTACCTTAGTTTACGTATGCGCACATGTATTGGTGGTGTGCAGCCTTATGTAAGGTGCGCAGTGTAGACAACAGTATGTTAGCTATACCTTTGGGCTTAGAGCATTAAAACTAAATGTTTTCATGGTGGTCTAAGGTCTATACTATGGCCACAGAATAATAAACAAACAGAAGGGCCACTCTCAGATGCCGCCTTTGAAGTTTTTCAGCACGCGCGCCATGTTTTAGGAGGACACAGACATATGATTTGTGTGGTTATGTAATTGTTTATATTTATGTTTAATTATATTATATTTATGTTATTATATTTAACAATGTTAATATAATTGTATAGTATGTCTATGATTGCCGTAAGTCAAATAAACCTGGTTAATTTTTCCATGCACACCACATAAACAACACTAATTTCTTTAAAATCCTCCTAAAACATGGCGGAACGTCTGCGCGGAGGAGATGCGCGTACTTAATTTTCCGTGGAGAGTGGGTATTCTGTTTGTTTATTATTCTGTGCTATGGCCATCGACTATGGCACAGAATAATAAACAATCAGAATGCCCACTCTCCATGGAAAATTAAGTACGCGCATCTCGTTCTCGCAGACGGAATCAGCCATGTTTTAATCGGAACCAGTGCGGTTCAGTGGCATTTTATCTGGTGTACATAGAAAAATTAACCCGGTTTAATTTATTTACGGAAACTATAGACGTAATATGCACTATTTTATCCGTTCTTTTAATTGAAGAATAGATTACATTATTTCAAATGTACTGAATTATTAATCTCTAAAAATTTTAATTACAGTTCTGTTGTAACTTGTCACAAATTTCTCAATTCGAGTCTGTTTCCGTCTAAAATATGGCGATCGAGTGCTGACAAACTTCAAAATTGGCATCTTTTAAACTTAGTGTAAACCTACTTGTTGGGAAGAATTTTCATTTAGTTTCCATCACAATAAAAGAACTTTAGTAAATTAATGTTGTGTCTTAGTTACACTCATTATTGTCATAGCCTGTAGACTTTGCTTTTCGTATTCGTACTTTTATGCTGTATTGATACAGTTGGTTTTGTTCTTCCTGGTTGTAGATCATCACAAGAAAACTGCGAAATTATGCTAGAACGTAACATAATAGATTGAATTTGTTGATTATCTCACAAAAATCCAGTATTTTTTAGTAAATTTTCTTTATTGATAACAAATGGGCCAAACCCACTGTCAAAATTAAACAAGAATTCAGCATTAAAGAAATTGCAAGTACACACTTATTTATACAAAGTATAATTGTGTATTTTAGTATTTCAGATAGAACCTTAAGATATTGATGTGTATAAGTTAAACAAATCTATCTAATGAGGTAACTGATTAGCATGCATGTAAGTAGGACCACACCTAATTAATTCTGTAATGGGAAACATGAAAAAGTGAATTCTAAAGCAATGAACGGGAAGGAATATGTAAAAAAAATTAGCTGAAGCAATTCAGGAGATTGGATTATTAAGCTTAAAATAATGATCAAGTCAAAGTTAAGTCTTCTGGTAAGAAGAGAATCTAGATTCAAGAAATTGATCACACCAGAATAAGAATATGGTCTACACAGTTGAAAAGAACAGTACTTCAGAAATCTTTAAACTCTCTTTAACTTTTTGATACATGTTTGAGTAAATGGAAAACAAAACAGAGTTGAATTTTCAACTTGAGAGCAGATAAAAGTGTAAGTTTTTAGAGATGCAATCGTACAAAAATCTCTGTTATGTCTTTTAACGAAACCAAGCCATTTCATAGCTTTCTTGCATATAAGATCTATTTGCAAATTAAAAGACAAATTTCTCTGAACAACCCGTCGAGCAAAAAGACAAAAGAGGGAATCTAATCCTTATGAAAAGGAGACCAAAAAAGTGGCCTCTGATGGCGGACATATCCGGAAATGCGAATGCGCCAAATTTAAATTTTCTGACACTTATTAACAGTAGCTACATAATATTTTTCAGAATGTGTCTTAGACGAGAAAGTTTTAATTAATTATTAACGATAATAGTCTAAAATGCGACACAATTGTTAAAAAACTTCAATATAAATAAGATTTCATGCGACATTTGGGACAAACAATAACATAACCCAACTAAATTTGATGTCAAACAAGGAGAGGGACTCTCTTTCCTTGTTTAATGTGGCCTCTAAAGATCGCACTTTCTGTCTAACAATATTTTTGCCCCCACTACATTTACATTCCCTCTTTTGTCTTTTTGCTCGATGGAACAACCGTACATAGATCTGTAACATTATTGACTCTCCCGATCAAAATATTCTCTAAATTATAATTAAATACCAAAGACTCAAGAGATGTATAAAACTGGATCACCCCATATTTAAATATATTTAGAAAAACAAAAAAATATATAGTGGAAGTAAATTGGAAAAAATTATTATTCATACATAAACAAAGTTAGGTTAGAATCGACGTGTGAGTGAAGTTGTTTGATATTGATTACTGGGTTACCGCAAGGCCGAGATAATCAACCAAAAAAGTAGATGTATTTGGTGACTTTTCTAGTAACTTTCTTGGGTGTGAATCTGTCTTTTTAGTTTACTTCTTCTGGTTAAAAAAAAAACCATGGAACTGATCGATAGTAGTGAATCGATATGAAGAATAAAATAATAAAAAGGCAGTATAAAAGCTTCGCTTCAATAAAAACAAATATTTATTTCTAGCCTAAATATTTTTTTATTTTCTACACCTTCCAATACAAAATCTCCAAAGGGCAGTTGCACGAACACGTCAGTATACATTTCTATTCACTTTGTGAAGTAGAGATGGTTTTGGATATTATCATCGTTAAAATGAATGTTTTGAATATTATATGCAGCACACGTGTCATGAGCCTCTGAGTTTATCACCTCTGTCGGGATAAATAATAGAATTTTATTTTTTTACATATAAACATTTATTATTTAAATATAAAACTTCATATAGGTACCATTAATTTGCATTTTTATACTGATACCATCTCCTAATTCGATCTTCTTTGGTTCATTAAAGAAAAAACAAGTCTTTTTATAATGTATACTGTTTAAAGTTGAATATACTATGTCTTCATAAAATTGTAATTCGTACCACAACAATAAGGCATTCGTCTCTCCACCTCTAGTGACGATTACATCTTTGGATTTTTCTCCGTCCCCTTCTAAAGGAAATTTCACCGGTGGAGAATGTTCTTTGTACATCAGTCTTTCCAAATTCGGATGTTCATATCCCTAAAAGATGAATATGTATATAAGGGAAATATATACCTAAAAAATATTAACTCTGCATTAGTCACGCGGTCTACGATCGTAGACAACTCCCCTTTAATCCTTTGTGTCCCAAACATAGATTTTTTTCAAGGATAAACGTAATATTTAAAATTTGTACATATAATGATGTTTCTAAACATATAATTAAAGTCAAAAATTGGTAGTAAGAGGTGTTGCTACAAATATTTATTTACATAATGTCATGATATTCATTAAAACAATTTTTCTTTTCATTTGAACAAAGAAAAACATTGCAAGTAATACATTTTGAATGCGGCCGAGACTGTATTGCCTGAGAAGAGCACATTTCACATCTTCCACGTTCACTATAATACTGAATCCAATGAACTCCTCTGTTCCCTAACCTTATATCATTTGGCACACTATAGGCGTATATCCTGCGTTTGGAAACTTGGATGTGATTGTTGTTACTTCTTCGTCGTTTGTTGTTCAATTAGTGATGAGCCCCAAAGCTACTGATCGTCTAAAATCTAAAAGTGTCATTGCCTCTTCTTCAGATTGAGAGTATAAAATAAAAGTGTTGACAAAAGCAATGTCAAGAAATCCAAAGAATAATCTGTGCCACTATTTTTTGGATCTACGATTGAATCCATATGACCCACGTAGTTGATCAGCAAGATCTACTCCTCCCATGTACTGATTGTAATCAGCTACAACTGTTGGACAGGATACATTTATTTTCGTTCCATCCTTTTGTTTTCTCTGAACGGTCGTGACTTCAGTACCATGAAAATTTGAACAAAAGTTGACACATTTATTATCTTTCCATCTAAAATAACTGATTCCTTGAGCTGACACTCGGTAGTCAAATTGACCTCTCTCCAATTCTGTCAACACGAATTGTTCCACACGCCAAAGTGTTTTTAGTTTTTAAGATTTCTAAAAGTGGAATATTTGTAAAATAACTGTCAATATATATAATTCTATTTTTGTCCCATTCCTTCTCTGTCAATGCAAGGACAACTCTTTCTCCTAGTCCCAATGCAATATTACCATTTTGAAGTTCTGTAACTCTTCCTTGATATACATCAAACGCTTTTATATAACCTTTTTTGTCTGCCAAACACCATAATTTGTAACCCCGTCTTATCGGCTTTTTAGATATTGTTTTAGGGAAGATCCACCCTTGAACAAAATCATAGATTCATCAACAGCGACTGCTCTAGTGCCATCGTAGAGAACACTAAACTGCTTGTTTAGTGTATCTACTAATGGACGAACTTTATATAGTTTGTCAGTGTTGCCAGTAGGTATAGAATAATTGTCATTTGCGTGCAAATGTGACAGAATTTCCTGGAATCTGTTTCTGGACATAGCTCGACTAATAAGAGATACTCCCAAGTCTTCAGCAGTACTCCAATATTGTTTTGTCATTTGAATTTGTTGTTGTTGTTTATAAAATATGCCGGAACTGAATACTTCATTAGACAGAGACAATTGCAATAAAAATTATTACGTGGGTAAAGATGAAAGGACCAGGTGAAACAATAGGGAATTTACAAACACGTATCCGTTCTCATAATATTATAAAGCACTTTCCTGGTCCCAAAGGTGATTCACGGAACGCGATTTCAGCAATTGACTGTTTAAATCCTTTCCTAAGTAACGTAATTATTGAAATGATAACTACTTCGACGAATACATATATTGAAAAAGTTAAAAATAGGTTCCAAAGGGATAGAGATGCAAGATTAACGGATGATAGGGAAATTCGTGCATTTATTGGAATTTTGCTCTTGATTACTACATAGAAGTTCAAGAAAAAATGTTTGAAAAAATCTGGAACAATATAAAAGGTAGTGGTATTGAAACGTGCTACCTTGCGATGAGCGAAAGAAGGTTTAGATTTTTAATAAGATGCCTCACATTTGATGATATCAGTACAAGAAATGAAAGAAGAGACATAGATAAACTAGCGCCAATAAGGGAAGTCTTTGAAATATTTGTAGCTAATTTCCAAAAGTGAATTCTTCATTATAGACGAACAACTATTGGGTTTTAGGGGTCGCTGCAGTTTTAAACAATATACTTAGGGTATAGTCAGAGTTATAGTCCCAAAAATATTGAGTAAGAGCATGCTAAGATTTAATGCATTCGAGTCATTTTGGCGTTCAGAAAACCCAATAAAGAGCAAGACAGATATTACATTGGCCACAAATGAACAAAAGTATAGAAGGCTGGGTAAGAAATTGTAGCAAGTGTGAGATATTTAAAAGTCACAATGCTAAAGAACCACTAATACTCAGTTGCCTCAAGCACCTTTTGGAAAGGTAGCAAGTGATTATGGTGGACAGTCATATCTAGTTCTGATCGATTATTTTTCTAAACGACTTTATATGGTGACAATTAATTCAAAAACTCAGGTGGTCATCAAAGAGTTAAAGAAAAATTTTTCAACACACAGAATACCCTACGAAGTCATATCAGATAACATGCCTTATAATTCGTGGCATTGTCAGCAATTTGCTAAAGACTGGGATGTTCGGTTTGTAACGTCCAGTCCCTGCTATCCACGGTCTAATGGGCAGGCAGAGCCGTTAAAATTGCAAAAAACATGGTTAGAAAGTGTGGGCGATATGGCGCTCCTGGAGTATCGCAATACTCCAATAAATGGAACAGATAAAACACCGGCCCAATTAGTGACTAACAGGGTTCTTAGATTGAAGCTACCATCAAATAAAAATCACAAAGACATAAATCTAAAGGAAGAGTTGTAGAAACTAGACACTCAGATCTTATTTAGCGCAGAAAGAAAATGGGGAAGTGGTCAGGCGAAACCAGCTATCACTTGAGGCCTCCCTAGTTAAAGGGGAAATTAAGAAGAGTACTGATTTTGCACATAATGATGGATCATTGAACTCATTTGGGAATCATAGTCGTGAAGTAGAGGAACCTTCAACCTCCCAGATGAACACTGAAAATAGAACTAGCGCTAGACTGAAAAGGGCTCCAGTGCGTTTTAATGACTATCAAATGTGGGGAAGATGTCACATCAGTAGGTTATAATTACGGTTACGGGGCTCTATTCTTTGTTTCAAGTTAAGAAAATAACATTACGCTTATGGAGATCAGTGTTGCCAAAACTCTCAGACACTCTCTTTTGCACGGATGTCCAAGATATTCCCTTTGCTTAATTTTTGAATTTTCATTTTTAATTAACACTTAACTGTAAAGTCAGAATAACTACTAAATAAAAGCCTTATTATCATTATGTAGTCAGAGAACGACATAAAATAGCTGACATACGCACATCGTATTATTTTAAGTTGCAATTAGTAATTAGATATACGCATTCCAAGCGGTCAATATTTTCTACTGATTTCTATGATTCATGGCATATCGTATTCTCACCGAAAAACAAATAAACTGTCGTTACTATAATTAAAATAAGATAAAATAAAATTATCTTTTGTAAATACTATTTATCTAATTAAAATCATTTTCCCTACTTTTCATCTCTTGTTTCGAATGGGCACTTTTGGTCAATTACGTTAAAAAACATTAATTTAATTCATGTTTGTGGAAACAAAAATACAAATTATACAACCCTAAATTGTGCTTGTGTGTGTCGTGGCAACGCCGCGTTGCTATCGTCCATAAGAAATACATGGGCCTATCTCCGCAATGTTATTTTCTAAACGTGGAACGTAGTATAGGTACAATGGATGGGGACTCGTTGTCAGTTGTCACTACTTGTTAGGGCATCATTGTTAGAACATGGGATTTTGGATATTGTTGATGCTTGCAAACATTTTGTTAAAAAGTATGTTTAAATAAATGTATTGAACACAATGAAATATTATTACTGTGGGTAAAAAGTAAAACACACTGACTTCAGGTACAAACCGGTCCAATGTAAACACTCTCTCCTACTGGTAGTAGTGATAATATTCTTACTACTTTTTCGAAAGTCCTAATAACTTATATTTGTGGCTATTACTACTCTTAATAATTGCAGTTGATATACATCGTGCAACTAGACTGGAATATCAGCAACAGAAAGGAAATTTTCTGTTGCTGATATTCCAGTCTAGTTGCTTTTCTTTTCTGTAAGGAGATAGGTTCATAAAAATGATTTTTTAATTTTAAGCATGGACTATAAATTGGGATCGACATCTATTTTGGTCTTTTAATATGTGTACCCTAGTTAATGCGATAATCATACCCGTGTGAAAATTCCTTTAATTGTGCTTTTTTGAACTACAAATAAATTATTTGAGAACAACGGACAGAAGGCACTAAATTTATACATTGCTATATTCATTTTTTCATACTTACGGAATAATCGTTGATAAATTCAGCGATATTAAATCCAAAGACGTTATCGTCATCCACTTTATTACAAAAATCTATATACGACGAACTAATAAGTTGTACTACGATGGTTACACTTTGCGGAATGTATATTGAGCTTCCTAATTCATTTTTCGCCAAACAACAGTTTTCCAAAGATCCGTCAACATTGACTGTGTCAAAAAAGAACGTACAAGAGTTTTGTCCTTTAATTTCTAGTTCATTGACTATGAGAAAATTTTCTTTAGGAATGTTGTTAACGTTTAAAACGTAATCAAAAAAGGCTTTATCAGCTTCTGTCTTTATTGGATGGTATACAGTACATGGGGAAGTTTTTGCCAAAAGAAAACCTAACAGCGGACATATGTTGTTGTCTATAACCTGGAATAAATTTTTTATTATTAATAAACAACTAAAAAATAATAACTTTTGTGTAGCTAAAACTGGTATCATGAACCAGATAGACACAACTTTTAAACAAACTCAAAACATTCATTAAATACAGTGTAGGTAAAAGTTTATGGTCGGTATGGTAAAATTTAACAGGATATCTAACACAGATATAAAATCATATTTTCAGCGAATAGACAAAGATAACAATCATATTTCCCCTTGGTCTCCCCTACATAAATCTTATTGACGCCCATTGCCCATTAGTGAGACGATTAGTTCCGATCAGAGATATTTTACATATTCTCTGGTTCCGACTCTAATATAGCTAAGAAACTAGAGGTGGGTCCTCTAGTTTTTTAAATTTTTATCGGAACCGTTTTTCGTAAACTGTAACTAGTTGATTGTTTACCAGTATTCAAATTAGCGAGTACACAAACATATTGGCTATTATCGTTTATGTGTATAAGTATTGAAGTGAAAGAAACTAACGAAGGATATATTTATTATAACTTGAAAAATAAATTAAACAATACAAATAGTACTTACATTTACATTACACATTATTAAATCGCGAATCGTCTAAATTGACATTTAAAAACATAAGTTTTTCCACTTTTCTTGTTAACCGTGTTCTTCTTTTATTTAAAATTAAACCAGATTTTGAACATGTGTTCACAAGGAACAGATTTTGTTACAATACTACAATATTTTATGAATATAGTGGTTAAGTTAGGATATACATGGCGATGGTTTTTCCACCACGGTAATGGACAGTTCCAATCTACGTTCGAAATTTTTTGTGGGTAATATATCATCAGACAAATACATGTCGACTTCTTTTATATCTCTCGATACAGGTGTATGTTTAGATGAGTCATGTCCAATTAATTCATCAAAAATACACCATGGACTTAAGTCATCTTTATCAGTTTCTTTTTCTTGTACTGGTTGATTTTCAAGATTTACTAAACTTATGCAAAGACTCGTTTCATCCGTTTTCCATAGTTGAAGAACGAGCTTTTAAAAAGTTTGCAGGGTGGATTCCTGGATATAAACCGCCAACAAGAAAAACTTTGTCAGGTTCATTACTTCAGGAATGTTATATCAAAACTGAGCAAATTATTAGATCACAAGTTGTTAAAGAAGTAGAAAATATCTGTATTACTACTGACCTCTGGACATCTGGAGTAACTGAGAGTTACATCGCATTAACAGGACAATATTTAACCGAAAATTTAGAATTTAAAACGGTTTTATTAGGCTGCTGTCATTTTTCTGGAAACCATAATTCAGAAAACATCGCTTCTGAAATTAGTGAAATTATTAATCCGTGGGGTCTAAAACGAAAAGTAAATTTTGCAGTAACTGATAATGCCTCAAATATGGTCAAAGCTATTAAAGATGTTTTGGAATGAAAACATTTGAATTATTTTGCTCATACGTTAAATTTATTGGTGGAGGACGGACTTAAATGCTGTCGTGATAACATAAAAAAGTTCCCAAACCTCCAATCCAAGACGTGGAAACTAGAGCTAGAAGAGGCAAGCTGAAAAAACTAACAAATATTTTTGAAAAATTTAAATGCAGAATGAAAGATTACATTATTACCAAGGGCCGAAAGTCCCGTAGAATAAAAAAAAACGTTTTTTGAATGAGATATTTGAAATTAAAAATCGCACAAAATTTTCTCTTCTTTTCACCCTGTAACTTATTAAAATAAACATTATAGAAGTTTTCAGGGACTTTCGGCCCTCGGTAATAATGTATTGTTTCATTCTGCGTTTAAATTTTTCAAAAATATTTATTAGTTTTCTCAGGATTTGAAAAAAATTAATGCATTTAAAAAGCATTGGCCGAAATTTTGCGCCTACGATCGTAACTCAACGAGTTACGACCCACCTCTACTACTCGTTACCCTACTTTGATTCGGTGTTTTGACCAGACAGACGTTGCCAAATAATTGTGAAGATTTTTTAATGTGGCGTTATTGTATGCAGTTTATTATTTCATATTGGGAATAAGGCACAATGTGACTTTAAAATAAGCTTATTTTGATGTTTAGATTTTTAATTCGGAAATCGTACTTAAAATACGAAACATTAATAAATTTTATTTATATAAAACGATTTCCGAAGTGGAAATCAAAATGTTATATTACACTTATTGTAAAGTAAACTTGTGGCATATTCCCAATAAAAAACAGTAAGCTGCCATTTAAATCCATTTCGCCCAAATTTGATTATCTTAGAACATTGTTCAAATGCTAAAAAGACAACAGGTCAAATAAAACCAATAAGTTTGGCAACGTTGAACTTCCCTTTTTTATTATATCCACGCATGCATGTTCGGCGATATAAAGGGCGGACCTAATATACCTCTCTCTTTTTAAACAGTTGTTTCTCACTCCATCTCACGTAAAGTGCATACCGACCATAAACTTTTACCTATACTGTATAGAATAGGACACATGCCATCATATGTATCATAAATAGCTCCCATTGGAGTGAAGGATACTTTCAACTGTAAAAGGTATTGGTGATAAGGGTTCTAATCTGACGCACCATGTGTTGAGACCCGTCTAATCTTCTTTCCTTATTATTTTCATGTTACTCATTTCCTTCAGTCAAATAGGATATTTCAAGAGATAAAGTTAAATTTGTATATTTAGTGAGATTAATTGAAGGGCTTGGGGTAAAAAGGTAACAAGTCACATAAATCTAAAAAATTAGATTTCCTCTAAAAGATACCTGCAAGTGTGCAACGAAACTGCTGATCAATTATTTCAGCTATTGATAAAGAGATGGCGCCTCTATACGCGAATTTCTTTCTTAACAATTGCCAAAATTCAGAACTTTTTGGTTAGAAAAGGAACATGCCACAGGCGATTTTCAAGATGGATGACTATAAATTACGCCGAGCTAAAAGAAAAGTTGATTTTGAGAGTAGTAGTGGAAGTGAATTCTCTGATTTTGATTCAGATGACGATCTGAATGATAAAGATTACAGTTCAGAGAAAAGTTCATTCTAAGAAAAGGGACTGGGAGAAAACAAGAAGAAATCTGGGACATGGGTACATACCAAGGGACTGAAATGGAATCTAAAGCTATTGGAGAACCATGTAAATGCAAACACAAATGTAGAACAAGCCTGATGGGAAAAGAAGAAGAAATTTTTCATGCATTTTGGAATCTGGGGACTCGACAGCAACAAAATAACTACTTATTTGGTAGAATAAAATGCATTCCCAAAATAAGAAGTTACCAAAAAAAAATCAAACGCCAAACATCTTGTAGAAGTGTATCATTTAAATATTATATAAAGATTAATGCCACCGACAAAGAAGTATGCAATCTGAATTTTTGGCAGTTCATGGTCTCCAGCAGTCAAAAAAGCGGATATATAATATCTGTTGCCAAATAAAGAAAGGAAAGTCTACTCCAAAAACTAATAAGCGAGGAAAACATACGAACAGAAAAAACAAAATATCTGAAGAGAGAATTCTGTCCATCCATTGACATATTCAAGCAATACCCAAATATTCCACCCATTACAGCAGGCAAGATAACCCCAACCGCACTTACATCAATCACGATTTGTCCATATCATCTTTATATACAGATTATTATATACCTTGGTGCAATGCCAAACATATTGTCCCAGTGAAAGAAAATTATTACAGAAGAGTTTTTTGCTCGCAATATAATATAGGATTTAAACTGCCAAAAACGGATACATGCCAAACATGCGATTCATACAATGTCTCGCTCGAATCAAATAAAGAAAATGCTGAAGAATGTCAACAAATTAAGTTAAAGTTAGAGTTGCATCAAAGGAGGGGTGAGGCGATGCAACAGGACTTGATAAAAGAGTCTGCACATGCCAAATTAACAGATGAAAAGGAAGTAATTTCATTTGATTTACAACAGGCATTGCCAGTGCCGAATTTGACTGTGGGAAAAGCATTTTATTTGAGAAAGGCATGGATGTACAATTTGGGTATCCATAACTGCAACAGAGAGCAGGGGTACATGTTCACTTGGACCGAAAATGTGGCAAAGAGGAGTAGTGATGAAATTGCCAGTGCATTACTGAAATATATCGAAATGTTCCTAACAAATACTAACAATAAAGAGCTTATCATTTACACCGATAACTGTGGGGGTCAAAATAAAAACTGGGCTCTGATGTCAGTATATATGCAACTAGTCAGAGAAAAACAGTTTTTGGCTATCGAACATCGTTTTCTTGTAAGGGCATACGCGCTTACCCTCAGATCGTGATTTCGCCCTAATTGAGAAGAAAAAGAAATTTACGGCACAAATCTATCATCCCAATCAATGGTGCGACGTTATAAGAAAAGCCAAAAAAACCAATCCATTTGAAGTTATCAAGATGCAACAAAAAGATTTTATTTCCTTTGACGAGCTGCAAAGGCAAACTAACAAAAAACAGACGACAGACGAAAAAGAACCTTTACGTTTTAGTCAAGTTTTAGATAAGAAAATCTTACAACATTGTTTTTGTAAAAAAGGAGTAAGCCACGTTGCTCAAGAAAAATATTTTTTCTCCTTTAGTTAAGAGATCCGTTTGTTTTTTTTTAGTTTGTAAATTGCTTTTATTCAGAATAAAGCTTCATTTAAAAAAATATTGTTGTGTTATAATAAAAACTCTGATTTAAGGATTTGATTGAAAGTTTCAAACTCGGTTTTCTCTCCATGTTGGTTTAAACCTGCCAACCCTGTTCTAAATCATTTATGTGTTTATGTTTCGTACGTTCATCCATCAGTGTCAGAATCTCCTGAGTCATATTAGGGCAGAGAATATTAAGGGTCAATACCTTACTGGCCCAACGGAACAGTAACCGATATCTCTGTTCTTCACCGGCGGAGGATCAGTAAAACGACTACGAAAATGGTAACTACAACATTCTGGAAATATTTAGTGACATGTGACATATGTATATATGAAAATTAAAGCATATGACCTTTCTAACTATAATTTTGTATGCAACTTACCGTCGTGTTCGCATTCCAAACCTTTTTCAACAATGCAATTATATTGTCCACCAACTTTTGATCGTTTAAAAACGTTATAACTTCTTTAGAAACCTTAAAACAAGTGTGATTCGTAGGTTCAGTCTCTATTAATGTTACATTTAAACCACAGTCTTTAATTGTTAATTTCGCCGTGATGATCGTTCCCTCCACAACTTCCACTGGATGATCTAAGCAAATGATAGCATGCTCCCAACAAGTGACCTGATCATCGTCGAGGGGATTGTTTGTTATGTAGGTATTTGGTGTAAGATTCAGATCGAACCAAATGGCAAACGCGTGCAACACTCCCTGCTCTATACACCTCAGTTGGATGATCTTTTCGTGCCCGTCTTCGCTCAAGAGTTCGTTTATTTGTTCTAAGTTATAAAAATCTAGATCAAAAACTTGGTTAATATCAGTCACGTATTTCACTTCTTTATCTAGTAAATTTTCTGCTTCGTACGGTTCTAGATCGTATTCGGTGACGCAAACATTTTGGAGATTGAGCAATTTGATTGATTTTTTGTTGACGAGTTTATGTCGCTTGATTTGATCTTCACAACTAATACCTATAAAAATAAAAGGGCTTTAGAATACGGTCAAACCATCTAAAAATGCATTTTTAAAATAATTAAAAAGAAGATGTCACATATTGTCTAAATTTCTTTTATTTCACTAATTTTTGTGTAAACACACTTGTGTAAACATAATCCACTTGTGCGGATTATGTGGGCCGTTCAACTACCCACATAATCCGCTTAAAAATAAAAAGTCTTATCCAAATGCCGCCACAGATCCTGTTACGTTTTGTTTGCAAATATTCTAAATAATCTCTTTTAAAGGTATTGTCATAATGCCGCGCAAAGGTGAACACACTGACTATGTGAAAATCATGCGTGGAGTGAGGCAAGGGTGTATTTTGTCTCCTCTAGTCTTCAATCTGTACTCTATTCCACTAAATGGTTACCGGCTAAACAACATCAGATATGCAGATGACACCACAGTATTTGTCTCATATGGCCTTGGAACTACTTTTATGTTCTAAGCATATGACTATGACAGCTTCAAGAAGACCATGACCAACTTCAGGTCACTTAACGAATATAGGTTAAGCACATTGTAATATGTAAGATTTCAAGTAAACCTTAAAAAGAATAAAAGTATATTATTTCATAATAACAAACATAAGACATGGTGTCAGGTAATTAAATAGATGATAAATAAAAATCTTAATATGGAGAGTAGCTTCAAGCCGCCGAAAGACCTGGTGTTTGACCGCTACGTCCACGTGAATTTGGATAATTTTTTAAGAAGCTTGGACATTTATTTGAAGGCGACCGGTTTAAGCGAAAAAGACGATGAAACCAAAGTAGCACTATTACTAAACCATGCCGGTGAAGGAAGCCCGGAAAAAGTTCGAGACATTTAAGTTGTCAGATTCAGACCAAAAAATATTTAAGAGAGTTGTTGGGGCCTTTCAAAACCATTGTAAGCTAATGAGGAACGAGACTTACGATAGATACAAGTTTTTCACGAGAATTCAGCAAGAAGGTGAGAGTTTTGATCATTACATCACCGACATAAAAACTCTTGCGTCTCCTTGCAACTTTGGGGACCTGGAAGATTCCTTAATAAGAGATAAGATTGTAAGTGGCATAAGAGACTTGTCCTTACAAGAAAGATTCCTTCGTGAAACTAATCTAACTTTAAAAAAGGCGGAAGAGTATTGCAGAGCCGCTGAAATAAGTTCAATTCAAGTAAAAGAAATAAGAAATGACAAGGAAGTGGATTTTGTAAGATATAGTAACAAGAAATCAATGGGACACAGTAGTAATAGACAGAGTGTTGATGTGCACAAATGTTTCAAATGTGGAACAAACCATGGTAAAATGAACTGTCCAGCATATGGAAAAAACTGTCAAAATTGTGGAAAACTTAATCATTATGCAGTAGGTTGTTTTAATAAAAAACATGGTCAGGTAGGATTAGATCAGGCAAGTCAATCCAATAGTAGGTATCATAATGTTAAAAATTTTGGATATAAAAATAACAATCTTTTAAGAAAACATGTACATGAGGTTGATAATGAGAGTTCAGATGAAGATGTTTCATATTCTATTGATTATTTAATATTAGCCTCAGTTGATAGTAATAATAATGCTTCGTATGTACAAGCGCAGATTAACAATCAGGTAGTATCGCTAAGATTAGATACTGGGGCTAGTTGTAACTGCATGCCTCTCAGTTTATTTACTAAATTAAATCTAAACAAAAATAAAATTGACAAGTCTAGTGTAACGATTGTGTCATATGGCAATAATAAGGTTAAAACAATTGGGAGTGTCATAATAAAATGTTTAATAAAAAATGCTGTCTATAATATAAAGTTTTTGTTGGTTGAGGAGGCTTCGGTGCCTATTTTGGCCTACGAAGAACATTTTAGTTAAAGAACCTCAGAATCTGGTTCAATACAATATCTGAGATAAAGATTGCCATGATGATCGCCAATATTCGTAACGGATAGGCACATCAAGAAGAAGAAGAATTGTTGTCCATTCATATTTTCCTCGTACATGTTTTGCTTCCAAGAATTGGTAATCGTCTTAATAATCGCGATCGAGATAGTGTAAGACCTTTGCAAGCGTGGAAGATTGTTCTTGGCAATTACATTGAATGAAATCACCGACTGATATTATTCTGTTTTCATTTTTCTAAAATTCGCGGACATGACAATTCCACACCCTGTCAAAACAAAACTACGAGCACGATTCGTTCTGCTAAAATTTTGACATTAGCCGTCTACGAGAATATACTACACGATAGCAAATTTCTCTTGATATAGTGGCGCCATCGGATAAGTACTTACATTTTGGCTGAATATTTGCGTAATTTAAAGGCATCTGTGATCGGTTGCTATACAAGAAAAAACTGTGAAATATCCCTCAGTATTAGTAATTTTCATTTATTATTCAAACATAAAAGGTTTTTACATGCAAACAAACGTACCTGTAATATATAATTTGGCTCCACACGGGACTATTTTATAGTCTTCCTCGGTTCGTAACATTTTTGATGCGTGATAAATGGTTTCTAGAGCTCGTTCCCCGAACAATCCACAGTCGAACACCTCCGTAACCAGAAAATTGCATTTATCTAAAACTTCTAGAAACAAAAAAGCGTGTTACTAATATGAAAAATTAAAATTTGTATAATATCATATAAAAAAAAAATGTTTAAAGTAAAGTTTTATTGATGCTGATTCATTGGAAAGTATAAGTTTTGTGTTAAAACTACAGAAAAGTGAAACATTTTTATATCATTTGCTTGAACACGTATTCAAAGTTTACAGCGTTGTCACATTAACAGAAATTTTCTCGTAAAGATAAGACAAAGTAAGAATAGAGAGGGAATATAAATTTTTCTGTTATATTTGTAACACAGGTTTAAACTTTCGCTGCAACCGACCCAAACGAACTAACAGTATACTATCTTGTAAAACGAAAGAAAAATTACTAATATTAACAACGAAAAAATAAATAATTTAGATTTAAATCAATTTGAGAAAACATCTGTTTTAATACACTATCAAATCGGTTTGAGAGACTGAAAATATTTTTTAGATTTTCTTTCAAGTTGTGTTTTCTTCTAGATGGAGGAAAATAATGACAGTCCACTAGTACATGTTTAACGAAAGACGAGTATTGCAGTTTCGTCATACTGGAAGGTTCTCAAAGGTCATTAGGTAGCGATATGTGAGGCGTCTGTGTCCTATTCAAAGTCAGCGACTAATAATTTTTTTTCTGTTCATTGGTGGCTTTAAGATCGATTCAAACACATCAGTCACTTCTCGTCACTGTTCCGGCGCTGAATTGAACAATTCGTCATACAAATCATTCTTTAATAGAAATATGCCGCCGGCATTCAGATTCATCAGTTGGCGAACAGTTTCCCAGCAGTCAGGTTTCGACAAGTCTAACGCCCGACCGATTTTATAATCTCAGCAACGATTTTTTTAGTTTTCCGGCACAATGACGGGCGGTACAAGTGAACCAAAATAAAATTAATGACGAACAATTAATAGAATGTCTGAGAAAATATAATGTTTTATATGATTTGTTTCATGCAAAATACATGTACATTAATTTTAAAAGTAATATTTGGCAGGGAATCGAAGAAGAAATAAAAACAAAAGGTAATGAACTTTTCTTTGTTATTTTTTTTTTCACTAAAAGAAAAACAACATACAGTTTTTAAATTTTTTCAAGTTACCATGGCCTGGCAAATTAAAATCATTTTTAAATGTGTCTCTTAATTGAAAAGAATTTCCTGTTGCATTTCCACCTTGCAAAAGCAAAATTTGCAGTTCAAAGTTTGTTTCTACTTTTGGCTCATTTTTGTCATTATGGGTTTAACTTCATGAGGGATATCTCATGTAAGATAGTTTTTATTCTACACCAGTGGTCTGTTCAAGGACAGAAGTTTTTTTGTTTGACCACATGTCAAGTATGCACGCGCCCCTCCCTTATCGGGAACAAGGAATTTTAAAAATATCTCTTTATTAGAAATAATTGTTTGTGTTGTTAACCCACTTACAACAAAAACACAGATCTTACAATTACTTCTAACAAGAGAATTATTTAAATTATTCCAGAGATGAATACTTGTTGAACATCCTGTTTTCTATTTCAATTTAAAGTTCCAATGTCCATTTTCTAAGTTTCTTTTCTCTCTATTTTTCTGGCTGTTCAGAAGATTCGCATCTTTAGAGGCAAGATCTCCATGTGATATTGGAACTAGTGTATTAGTACGCGTTACATTATTATTACCAGCGTGAGGGTAGACATAACCTTTTCAACAATTTCTCTGAAGACAAAACTTAACATATTTTTAAAGAACACGTTTTTATTTTTATCATCTACATTCTAATATGTACATATTATGGAGTTAGGCTAGACCACTGTACTGACTAGACAAATCTAAATACAGTTGTGTTGTAACCAAGGCTGCCAGGTCTAGGGATTTATCCCGAATCTAGGGATATTTCAGTATAAAAGGGACAAAGGGATTTTTTTGACATTTAGTGTAAAATCTAGGGATTTTTGACCGACTCAAATATTTACCTATATAGGCCTATTATAATAACATTTTCTTTAATTCAGGTATAAAACGCCTTCGTATTAACAGTATTGACTATTCGGATTAAGATCGCAGCGCCAATGCGGTATCAATTTGAACCGAGCTAAGAGCCATTATAATAATTGTTTACACCTCATCTTGTATATTGCGATTGCGTTAGTTTTATGTTTTTGGAGTAGTTTTGTTCGTTTATCCATGGTTTTTTAAATTCAATATTTTTTGTTTGACTATTGTTTATTCCTACTGATTAATACATAGACAATTTTGTTAATTATAAGTTTTATTTTAGTTATAGACTTGTTAGAGTTAAAGAGTTAACAAGAACTTAAAGTTCTATTTTTTAATCCTTAAGTTAAATATCTTAGAATATATGTAAGTTTTTGGGTGGTACTAAAAATTCAAGATGTGCTGTAGAAGGAGAACAAGTTTTAAACTCGGTTATCTTATTTTGACTGGAAAATTCACTGACGTAAGTTATTAACCCACCAGGTGAAACACCAATCATAAACTAATTGTTAAATGGGATTTATATTGAGAATAAAATAGTATTCGGCAACACAAACACTTGGAGTCTGTACATAAATGTCAGTACAGTCCAAAATTAGCCTAAAATTTTGAAAATCAGCAAAACAAACTGACATGTTTTTAAGAATTTCTCCTTTGGTGGGAAAATACACCAAAGGCCGTAAGTTGTGGCTCAAGATAGGTATTAATTTATAAATATAAGTTTTTGTTAAGTCAGCTGTTATACCAAACAAAGAACCCAAAGTGGCATAAGTCAAATTTAACTTAAACTTTGTAAGAACTAACATTATCCGCTGTCGAATGTTTACCTATGAACTCGTTTGTCCTTAATATAATTTTCAGTCATATTTACTATACAGTTATAAATAGTGAAGTTATGTACACAAGTACAGTTTTTTAATTTAATGTCATTAACGATTTCATACAATGTAAGCACTTTTGGAGTGTTCACTTGCACAACTGCATCTTTTGAGGAAAGAGTGCTATTCTGGACTAGAAAGTAAAAATACATACTCTATCATATGTACAAAAGTACATACACTATCAATTAAATAAACAAAATTAAAATCGATTATATCTTTTAAGAAATCTCTTAATCTAAATTGCTAAGTGACTAAAACATGTGCAACTATTTGATGACCTGTTATGAAATATGTATAAACTGTGTGATAGTTCTTGGACAATATTTAAATGCTAAATGTTTCTATTAGTTATGGTTTTTTATTTGATTGTTACAGAACATGTAAAAAAATATATTACATTTTTTTTCTCTTGGTTAAGATGAAAAGCAGAGGTACTGATTTCTTGAAATCAGCACCACCTGATCTTCGGCATTTTTTCTTTCTTATTGTATTATATGCATGTATAATTTTATATATTTTGTGTATTGTATGAATTTGAAGGAAAAATAAAGACCTTTATTATTATTATTATAATCTCCAATGACACCAAAACACAATATGCCTTCAATCAAATGGCCTTCAACGTGAAAGAAAATAAATAATGGCTCTTAACTCGGTTACTGCAATAGCCGCTAGAGGGCGTAATGCTTACGACGAATTGCCAATTATAAGCGATTTTTCATTACAAATAATTAAACTACTAGTAAACTACTTAAGGATTCTATTATCAGATGTCGCTACTGTCCACGTCCTTGGAATCTTTATTTTATGCTAAATAGATTTCTGCCAAAAATAGATTCCTATATATTTTCAGAAAGGAGAAACCAATTCTGGAGCAGAAATTAGGAGATTTACAAAAATCTTAGGTTTTATAAAATAAATAATTAGGGGATTTACAGTAGGAATCGGGTGAATTACAGGATTCGTGGAAGTATCTAAATAAAATTCTATGTTTCACCGTCTGATTTCTCTTCAAGTTGTATTTTGTATTAATTTTATTAAGTGAATAATACATAATATACTCCATTCGCTTAGCTCGGGCATATTTTGACAGATTCATTGTCGGAAACCTACAACACAACAATTCCTACTTCTCAGTATTAATAGCTCAAGTATACTTACTATTGTAGACTTCTTTCTTTGAAAAAGAAAAATCATTCTAAATAGTGGAAGTGCATACTAAACCCATCAAATTTTAGGTAGTATATATTTAAAAAATATATTTTAGTTATTATAATTTATCAACTATTTATTATATGGTGCAGATAAATAAATATTGAGTGTCTGTAATTCGCAAAGTTCTATTTGATTTACTATTTAGTTTATTTACTATTAATATTGGCTATAATATTAATAGTAAACGTATTAATAGTACGTGTGCTTGGTTGTATAGTAATTTTCAGCCATTTTTAGTCTGTCAAAAAGTAACTAACTTCGCAAAAAAAAATAATTACTATAATAAATTCACTAGACAGTTCGGACTGGGAATAAAAATAATGTTAAATTTATTCAAATCATCGCTAGTGTACCGTGTAAAAATGTAATGTTTTTTAAATAAAGGGATAAAACAACAATTATTTTTTTATATCCATGTTATTATATTAGGCAACCATCAATACATCCCATCATTTTATTCAGAATTAGGCAACCATATATACATTTATTCGAATCTAGGGATTTCTAGGGATATTTTCATGTTCAAGTTAGGGAGGACAAAAATTTTCACCTGGCAACCCTGGTTGTAACAAGTGTACATGCATCCCAACAGCAAACCCCATATCTCGTCAGTGGCGGCCGGTCAGGGTCGGCAGTGCCGACCGACATCTTTATAGATATTATAGATTATTTTAATATTTAATTTAATCAGTATTTCAATAAATAATTGTGGCAGGTAATCAGTTGATGTCATTTGTTTTTGTGAACTAAAAAAATATCTGTGAGATAATAAAGACTAAATTTTATTCATGGTTTTTAAAAGAATTCGACCAGACTAAATTTTATTCATGGTTTTTAAAAGAATTCGTCCAATCTGAGCGTTAAGTGATCCTTGCGTAGACACTTTTCAAATAAATGTTCCGATATCGGAGACATCCATCCGCC